CAGCTATGATAAAATCAATTCAGCCTTGGCAAGGTGGATATTGTGGCTATAGCACACTGTGCCCAGCACACATACATAATTAGACAGTGGATGAGAATAGTAGGGAATCTATTGTGATAATGTGAGGTCACATTGCTCTTGAACATCCATGATAATGACCATATCCAATGAAGTTGTATCCATTAGGCATGCTGAAGTGTCCAGTACCGCATTCGCACAGCCCTGAGACTCACACATACACACATCTGCATAGCACTTTAACAAAAGTGAAAACACATAATTAAAAAAATAAAACACAATAAACAGCAGGACAGGATTAATATTCTGCCTTGTTATTAAAACACCACAGATGCATTATGGGTGGAGCATGTGCGTGTCTACTACAGCAGCACCCTCCAAGGCTGGAAACATGAGGGGCCGACCAGCGATTGATGTTTGTGTTTATTTAAAACGATATTCAGAGGCAGTGTTCCATCTCACATTCAACACACATTTTCATAAGCGATGATAACACGCTCATCGTTCACCGACACATACACACTGTGTTCCTGCTCACACACACACACACACACACACACAGTCTTCTGCCCCACTCAGATGCTTTCTTTCGATCAGTGTGCACACTTGTGTTAAGCTATGCAAAATGGCTACATTCACAGTTCACCAGAGCTTGTGCATGCTAAAAAGAGCTGATGTGCCAGTGGTGTGTGTGTGTGTGTGTGTGTGTGTGTATTTGTCCACTATGGAGGCATCACTGCAGCGATTTTATAAAATATGCACCTAAATCTGAATCTACTAAGAGCATGGATTGATTTTGCTGACCAACAAATATGACACCACCCCCCTGTAGCCCACGTTGTACCCGCTGCACAGATGCTGCATTGCTAGTGTGTCCTCTTTAAACAACAGGATGTAACTAAAGGCAGTTTGTTTCCATTTCTGCTGCATCAGGTTAGAAAACAATGGTTCATACATAGGGTACACAGTTATTCCTATTAAAGTAGCTTCTCTGTAAAGATTGCTAATGTCCTTTAAGAATATTACAGCCATATGGGTTTTCCCTTCACACATATCTGTTTATTTATTTACCTGGATTAGATCATAAAATCGTGAAATTACCCTAAAATAGCTTTTTTTGAGAATACACACTGTATATATATTTTTGCCCATATCCTTTCCTGTCAGCGTATTCATAAATGTTTCAGGAAAATGTCTTATTTTAGCAATCCTCCAGATAGCCAGAGCCCATTTCCATAGCTTTAAATAATGTCAATCTGGGCAAACCCTGGATTGAAGCCCTAGAGCCGGAAGGCACAATTTCTCCTTTGCCTACAGTCTGATAATTTTCGGAGCTATTGGCAACTTGGGAATTTTGCAGCCTTATCGCTTGGGCTCAGCGAAGTTCACTGCCACTAATCGGTGGAGGGATCACTCCTTCAAGGATTGCATGATCATGTTTTTTTTTTTTCCAGGGCAGTGACAGCTGCCTGCATCGGGGCATTAGCAATGCAGATGAACCAAGCCTAATGGGTTAATGCGTAACATGCGAAAATTAGGTTTAATCCCCGAGTGAAATAATCTAACATTTTCAAATTCCTTGATGTGGGAATAGAGACATTGCCTGTGACTCAATTAGGTGCAATGCAGATCAAAGCAAATTTACCTAGAACATGCGCCCTAGATCTCGCGCATGTGTATGCATGTGTGTGGTTGTGTGTATGTATGTGACAGTCAGGGATATGGCAGTGTGCTTGTACTCATAATGCTGCAGGCAAACCCAGGGCGGCAATAACATCATGATGACAGAACCTCTGCCTGTTTATTTATTCTCTTTACTTACCTCACTGCTCAAATAATGTCACTGCACACAGACATACACACACACGCACATCCAAGAATGAATAGCCTTAGCCGTGGAACCTGCAGAGAAGTGATAACTGAGATGGTGCGAGCAGCCTCCGTCACAGCGGCAGTGTTTTCAGCTTAATTGGAACTAAGTACCAGACACATGTGGGAGCAAATATATGTGGCGATTCATATGCATGTGGCCAGGTTGGGATATATTCCTTATTCAAATCTAAATTGAATGGGGGTTGGCTGAATCCATTCCAAATGTAGCACTAATGTTGGATTCTATCCTGCATCACGCCCCATGATTACTATTAATAAGCTCCTGCCATGTGTACATTGGAGACCATACACAGTCCCCTTCAATGGAAATGGAGCACCATGGTTTCTTGGGCATGTGTGTGCACATACATGTGCATGTGCGTGTGTATCATTAGCAGGGTGCAGCTGGCCATTAGGGTCCTAGGATGGGTGTTGTTTTGCTCTTCTCCTCGCTGTATTCCTGTCGGTTATTCTCTAATGTGTCACTCTGACCACCGGCACTTTGTTAGAGGACAAAAACCTTTCCAAACTGCCTCTCACACAAGTGCGTGTGAGTGAGGTCGAGACTGATTTCTCCAAACAGGTAGCGAGTAATGAAAGACATACACTAAGCCTTCACGAATTGGCAATCGAGAGAGGAGAGAGGACTTCAGAAATAAGCGCTGTTTGGGGATAGGAAGCATCAAAATGTAGCAATTACTATCCCCAGACAGTTACCCCTCCACTGAAATCAATGAGGACACAAACTGAACAATCAGCTGCAACTAGCTATCAACAATGGAGTGGAATATGTAAAAATGCCAATTAAATGTGTTAGCATACACACAGGTTTTTTGTTGTTTTGTTTTTTTTTTGTATGATATCCCAACATCTGTGGCATTAGCCGTGGCTCTCTTTATGTAAAATAGAGACAGGGAAATGAATACGCAATCTACCACTGTGTTTTCATCATTAGTGCACTCCAACTCACGGCTCTGCTGCCTCCCAAGCCGCCTGAGTGGGGAGAGAGAGGAACATTTGTGTGCCCCCGCTTGCCAAATTAATTCTTGTCTTGACATCTTAATTCTCAGTTCTTGTGTGTGGTCAAATCAGCCTACTATAGAAAAGCAATCAAGCAATTATTCCCAAATTATATTTGCCCAACACACACTGATTGGTTATTCTTTTCTTATTGAGTAAGCTCATTAATTCTGAGCAGCTTGCTTGTTATGCCTCTGCCATTACTCCTTTCCCCTCTCATCCCTTCTCTCTCTCTCTCTATCTCTGTTTCTGTCTGTCAGTCTCTCTCACCCCCTGCTCTTCATCATGTACACCCCACCCCCACACACACACTCCTCTTTCCTTCTCTCTCCAACAGATGCACCCTATCTTGCAGCCCCAGCCTGCTGATGTTTTGGAGATGACATACACTACAAAAGCCCCATGATCTGTGGCATTGTCTAGTCGGCCAATTACTATTCCCATCTCTGATTAACTTTGATGTGGAACCTAATGAGATAAGGCAGCTTATCAAGGCAGCAGCTGATAGTGGTCTCATTTATTCCTGTGGCTCGCACCCAAGCAAGTGACAAAAACTAATGAGGAGGAGTTTGTATGTAAGTTCAGGTCTAAGGGAAGTGCAGAATTGTTCATCTGCAGTTCATCAGCTCCCGCCTGAAATGGCCTCAGCATCGTCAGCGTGCAGCGCCGAGGCACTCCACAAAACAGCGCAGTGACTCGCTGTAGAAGAAGAGCCACCAAGTTTGTCTGTCTGACTCTCTCTCTCTCGCTCGCCTCCTCGCTGCAGCATCTTTCTCTTAACAGCTCCTTTTCCCTTCTCCAGGCTCTAATGGTGCAACTAATTGGTCAGGTTGTTTAGTTGTGAGGAATGTTGTAGAGGAGTGTGTGTACAAAGCTGTTCCCCTTTCCTGATCCCCGAGAGGTGAAACCTTCTTTTTCTACTTCTGCTATCTTTGTCTATTTTTATTTTCTTCTGAGAGTGTGTGTGTGTGTGTGTGTGTTAAATTTGTCCACACAGAACAGGCTGCTGATTGTGTTTCACTGTAATATTTTCAGTCAGTTTAAGGATTCATGTACTGTTAAAAAAATATGTTTCTGAAATTTGAATGGCCACACATTGAATTCTGGATTACAAAAACAGGATTACACCACAGGTTTTCATAGTGCATCGATCATGATAAATCAGCTGAGCTGAGGTACAGAAAAAAATTTTTTTTTCACTTATTAAAATTAAAATGTGGTCACTTCCCACTGCGAGACAGTGTAATAATTACTGTCCTTTAAAAAGGTTGTTAATATTTTCTTATCAGCAATGCCACTACATTATAATAAAACAGTCCTTTTAAATAATACTTTTGTTGTGAAGCAGCAGCACATTCTTGTAATTCAGTTGACGAAGGAGGGGAAAAAATACCCTGAAGTGAAATGAACTGTGAATTCTCCTGCATGGACTGTGTGTAGAGAGGCAGGAAGTGTGTGCCTTTTGATTTGGGGTATAAAAGTAAATAATATTTGTACATCTAACACATACTCGAAGTGAATGAGCAGCCCCTGAATGTGTTTCTATGAGCAAGTGGAGAGCTCTACAGACTTTAAAGCTGGAGCCCAATTAAGCCTCGCCTCATCGAGGGAGGGAGAGGAGCTGAAAGCTGAATACATAAGATAATGCAGCTGCACTAAAGCAGCCAGCTCGCTCAGTGTAAAATTAGAGAGGGAAGAAAAAATCTTGATAAAGAGAGAAGAAAAAGCAGGGACAGACAGTAGGGGGAATAAGAGGAAAAGATGTTCCTCTGGGGCGATTTCCTTTGAAACTGGTTAACCAAATACAGCTATTCATATTCAGCACAATTAATAGTGTCTCTTTCTTGTTCAGACGGCACATCATAACGGGCAGAGGGGAAGAGAGAGAAGAGGATTTCTTTCTCCCTCCAAATTGTAGCCAATTTAAGGACAAAGCGGTACCCTCTACTTCCCCAGAATAGGAGTCGCGCTCATAAAAGAAGACTGACAGTCGACGTCCAAATCGCATTCAAGGACGCAATTTCCAAATGTTAATCATAATCTGCAGATGTTGGCCACTGATACATTTCTTTATTTATTTATTTTGATAGCATGTCTGTGCCCATTTGGATGGCCTGTGAAATTTGAAACAAAGAGGAAAAATCCCTTCTGTTTGAGGCATGTTGAACAGTGTGTGAGACCAGCCACAGCATGGACATCTGCACCATCATCAGATGGGGTATGCTAGCAAACACACACACATGCAGAGAGGGAAACATGCTTACATACACACCCATCTCCTTCCCTTTTTTTTTTTTTTTTTTTACTTCTGCTGCTTTCCCATTCTCTCCAGGTCATTTTAGAGTACCTCCAATGTGTCATCAGACATTGGTTTCTATCTGAAAAAGAAATACTTGACAGAAAGGTATATAAAAGGAGGACACTCTGAATTTTTGACATTTTTTGCACAGCTGCTTCAAAATGAGTAGGATGAAGAGGCAAGGAAAAGCAACTCCAAGACACATTTTTGTTTATTTGCTGCCTTTTCTCCCTTTCCTCTTTCAGTGAGATGGAGGCTAGCACGAGGCCACAGCTGACTCATCCTTGTATAGAGGGGACTCAGTGCAGGGCCATGAAAGAGAAATAGGAATGGCTAAATGAATTCTGGGATCTGCTCTATTCAGCCAAACTCAAAAAGGATAACCTCTTTATTTCCATTTAGATACCAAATGCAAGGTGAAACCCAACTTGTCAGTTAGGTGGCTTTAAATGTTACTTCCCTTAATAGGTAAATACCTACAGCAGTAACCACACCTGCTAACTGCTAATTACATTTATTCAGATTCACGTTGTCTGTGTGGATGTGTGTGTTTCTAGTTTTGAATGGTCCTAGCACCATTTTTGTCTTTTTTTTTGTGGTTAAATATACTGATAAATGTTCTTGATTAGTTTAATGTGTTAGAAAACATCTATTTTTCTATTTACATTCTACACACATTTTGTTTTGTTTTTTAATAATGAATATTCCTTCTTCTCTAGATGTGATCCATCCTTCAGTGGTCACTGATGTTATGGAGCTCATTCTGGCTGAGTGAGACTAACACTTGACTATAAAAGCCATTGATTGGGGTGGCATTAGAGAGATTCTGTTGCTGTTTGTAATATTTCTTGGGGGTGCTGTGTAATTGCTTGTGTTTCAGGACGTTTCTAGAGCCATCATTGGCTTCTGGCTCTCTTTGTTGACTTTGTCCCGCCTTTCCCCCCAATAAACAATCCTCCCAGCTGATAGCATGCCAGGTTCTGTTTGAAACAATCAGTACTCGTGCCCCTCTCAAGTATGCCAAACCCATCAATAGGCAGGGGAAGACAAACAGAGCCATGCAGCTGTCCTCCGAACAAAATGAAGCACTTCCGGGGCCAGTGAGGAGGAGCAGACCACTGGGTGCACCCTAAATGGACCATTGTACTCTCTCACAAAAACCTTCAGGATCACACAGCACCCAATTGTGAGCTGAGCAACACCCTTCCTCATCTACCCACTATACCCATACCTACAAATCACGCATTTACCTTCACCCACCCCAGCCATGTTTCTTCATTCATTCTCTCCCTCCCTCTTCTGGTCAGTGAAATTTTGCTGTATTGTTTTGGGGAGCAATAAAAAAACTCGCCCTGCTATAAATGGATGTAATGGCTTTGGTATCCCCACCCACCCTTTCTCCAGTCAGCAGCAGACTGTGAGCAAGGCAGACTCTGCGTGTCTAGCTGCCAAAACACTCAACATGCCACAGCAGTCTGGGTACTGGGTGCTGAAAGAGGGTCTGCATTTTAATATTCAGTGCACCAATTCATTAACATTCTATTCGAGCCTACAATAGATACTGGAGAGGCTGTGACCCTGCAGTTCCCCCGATCAAGGTCAGTAACTAAGAAAATAAAATCTGAATTGCATCCTGGCACACAATTGGATCCTCCAGCCATGCCATATCCCCGCTTAAGAAAATAAAATTACCCCCCACCCTCCACCCAACGTGATGAACGTATTCACTGTGTTCTCAATAGGAGCACTTTGGCATGAAAAGCCTGTGCTTCAAAAGTACAAATTATTATTTTGATCTTACAATGTGAAATGTAAATTCATCTTCAGGACAAGCGATTTGCAAAGTGCTTCTGTCATCGCAGTGACCCTCGTAAATTATGGATTTGTTAAAGTTTTCTATTTACGCCCCACCATGACCATGCACACACACACACACACACACACAAAAGCACTCACAAAAGCTCCATGGGTTTTGTAGATCACCACAGTTTTACAACCCATGCCAACTATGCAGCACTGTCTGTAAAAGGTCACTCTTACTATTCACATCCCTGCACATATAGACACACACACACACAGTCAAGAGAATAAATCTAGCCGATCAGTCGATTATGTGATTGGGTGCTGTGACAAAGGGTGTGCATGTTGCTAACACGTTCCCTGTCAGTAGAGGAGCGATATGTGGGTAGACACAAAGCCTCATTAAAATACATACAGAGCTGGTGCGACTCCGGTGGGTGGGAAAGATGCTCCATCAAGATGTCGTTACAACATGGCTGTCTCCACCCACTGCCATGTATCTGCCTCACACTGTCCTCCCCCATGCCTGGACAGCACAATGGCTGGCTCCTTTATAGCCGGTGTGGGCCATTCCTTCCATTCCCCGCAAGGTCAGGGCCTAATCCTCGGGGAGTTCTCACATTGTGTTTTAGCGAACTGGGGTCAAACTGTTTGAAATGAGGAGGTTTAGTTAAACATCTATTAGGCAGGCCCAGTGTGTTGGAGTGCGCTTGATTTAAGTGCAAAGCTGTTGTTCTCAGCTGTCCTCATACTCAGCAGCATATTGGGGTGCATGTTTCACAGGTCCTGTATGTGTCACTGTGAACAAAAACGTCCCACAGCATACGCTGCTTTAAATAATACACACTGACCCCGTGTTCACCCCAACACATGTCCACCTACACAAGCGACGTGTTTTCCACAAATGAATCTGTTTCAGAATAGTTCATATGTCTGTCATCTTCTTTGCCACTGAGAGGCGCTATGCCGAGAAAGGAGGGGGGGGATTAAAGAATAAAAGTTTAAAGTGTAGCTGTGCTGTCAGCAGTGCCATGTAGGCCAACTGCCCTGTTAGTGAGGCTGACATTCAAAGAGAGTTGGGACGCAAACAACAGTCCCACAACCTCCCGCTGCGAGAAGACATTTCTCATGGTGGCCGAGTGCTTTGATACAGCTCTTGTGATCCTCGCTGGCATGGCTTTGAGAAAACACACACACACACACACACACACACAACACAGAGCCCAGGCCATCACCATTATATACCATTTGAACACAGTGCTTTTTATATATTCCAGATTTTTCCATTATTACTGTCATGAAATCACCATCTTTCTGCTGGGTATTACAGTAAATGTATGTTTTATGGAACTCTGGCTGCACTCTGTTGCCATTTTCACACAAATATTTGGTTTCATCTGTTGTGTCCATTTGTGAAAAAAACTTAAAAGCAAACATGCATGTACTGTACATGTAAATGCAAAATATTCCCAGAGAAAAGATTACTTTAGTGAAAGTTCTTGTTATATCCAAATAAAAACGAATTAAAATAGGACACTGTCCTCATGCTGCTCGTTAATAGCAATGCTATCTCTATAATAGTAAAACGTGACTGCAAGCAATAAGCAGTAATGCAGGTTAGTGGATATACAAGCCACTTTCAAGACTAAAGGCAAACAAGCTCCACTAATTACTGAGGCACTATGCAGTCATTTCTAAAAGCAAAGGTTACTGAATGGTTGCCTGTTACTTCACTCACCCTGCACCAAATGCTTAAGATAATGACCAGTTACTAATTGGTGCTTATACCTTATATCAGTTTGTTCAGAATATAATTGCAGCTATTATGGTACTAAATAATCATTGGAATTAGCATCTTTTAGTGAAAAATGTGCTAAATAGAAGTATGGAGCATTTTCCAGTGAGAGGTCTTAGTTTCAATGCACCACCGGTTGATTCATCATTAACTAGAGGGTTCAGGGCAGAAGGAATACCTTTCCTATCATATTGCGGTGTCAGTGCATCTTCTGCATCGGCTAATGGAGGCACTGATGTAGCACATTCACGTCTGTGTGCAGTCTTGTGTGTTGGGGGGGGGGCTATTTTATTAGTATATTAGGCATGTTTATGTGAACACTGTGTGTGCATGTAGCTGTTTGCGTGTGCGTGCACTCTCCATGAAGTGCACAATTGAAGGGAGCACGGCCTATATTCTATGCAGATCACGCTCCCCATGCTTCAGCAGCTCCTCCTTTGTGCTGGCCCTTCCGTCAGCTGTTGACTTCCTAAGTGTCTCAGACAGCCGTGTTTCTGTCTGCGCCTCTGTCCACTGCCTTGTCCCGCACACATTTCTGAAGTCGGCTGACTGCTAATGTCCGTATCCAGACAAAGACCCCACTCTGTGGCCACTCTGCGGGGCCCGGCCCAGGGCCAGGGATGACTAGGAGGGGGGTCCGGGGAGGAAGAGAAGCAGGGGAGGGCTTAGTTTGGGAAAAAGAAGGGCTGAAGCTGGTAAGAGCACCCGGCACTGCCTGCCACTCTATACTCATGTCACGCTTGTGTGACAACCACTCCTCTGTGCTTGTTTGAACTGTCCTTCCCAATTAGCACTAATAAGTCACTCTGTAAGCATGAGCAAGCATAGTGTTCCCAGTCACTCCTAGTTCACATAGGCATAAACAGATATGTGCACAAAACACAAACACACATTCTCTCTTCCCCCCTAAGCTTAGCAGCGCATGAAAGTCCCAGGAGCACAATCCCACTAATAGACAGAGAAAGCCCAAAATGCATCTCATTCCCGGCAAACAAGTGCCAGTAAAGAGGGAAATTAATGACAAGTCATTTGAAGGGTTTGCCTAAGAATAATTTTACTCTGCCATCTCATGACCACTGAAGAATTGATTAGATCCATGCTCAATCAAAGTGTCTGAATCAATAAAGAGCAGAGCAGGCACGCTCCAGCCCAATTTATTCCCAGCATCACTCTAACATGAGAGTCACAGAGATAAAGAGAGCATCTCTGACAGGTGACAGTGTGAAGGCCCCGCTGAAAGGAAAAGCTCGTGTCACAAGCAGAAAGGCAGGTGTGTCACTACTGGTACTTCATTACATTGGGTCACATGCCTTCCAGCTTCACTTCAGGGATTCGCCACATACTGTCATTTTAAATAATTTAACTAATGAATATTTGTTTCAAAAAATATGAAACAATAAACAAATTATTACTGTGACTTAGTTTAATGGTACAGTGTTCGTTTGTAAGAACAGGCATACTGCATGGGAGGAGAGGCTGAAATACAGACTTCACTGGTGTTTTCTCAAAGTAAAGACCGGAGGACTTAGTCAGGCTCAGCTGTGCTTTGCTGTTTATTGTTGGCTGCTTGTTTATTGTCATGCAGAAAGCAGAGGGGGCATTAAAGGAAGATTTCGCCCTTATTTTAAAATGTGGTGCTGAAGATTAGAGGGCTTGCCAAACACTGTGGAAACACTTAATTGATTTCCTTTGGACTGTTTACCTCTAATGTAGCCCTCCTAGAGCCCAGCACTCATACACAGTGCACACACAAACGCACACACACGTAAAGTACAACCCTAGCCCCATTGACGCCAACACGGGCCTGCCAAGAGCCTCATTTGTATTCACAGCAGTGGCATTTGCCAGCCTGAGCGTTGCCGTGGTGATGCTGCCCACACAAGTGATGATAAATGGTGCTTTCAGCTTCTCTGCCTTCCATAGAGCAGAGCAGGGAGCTGAGGAGTTGCTGGCTAGGACACTGCGACAGCCACAGCTAGTAAGGCCTCATCCCTAACGCCGGGCAACTGACGCATGACTACACAAGCCCAGGGCTGCTTGAAGGCTTTGGGTGCAGGGGAGTGGTGGGTAAGAGGGGTCTGGTGTTGTATGGGTTGTGTGTGTGGATATGGAGAAAAGAGATTAAGGTAGTGTGTGTGTGTGTGTGTGTGTGTGTGTGTGTGTGTGTGTGTGTGTGTACATGTCCTGAAAGAGGGGGAGGGGGCATATGTTGGGAAGAAGTGTGTGCTTGAACTTGTTACTGTTAGCTGAAAAAGTGATGTCAGCCTCACTGTTTCTTGAGTGTGTTTTGTTTCCTGTATTTTTCAGGTATGTGATCATTTGTTCACAAGTTAGTGGCATAAAATATCTGACCTAAAAATATCTCATGTACTTTTTTGTACCTGGTTTACCTGAAAATATATTTTTTAAGCTTGCTGTGTCTAATAAGCCACTGGGAAATACAGTTTATCTTTTAAAATGGTAATTGTTTGAATATAAAAATATGTTTTTTCATCTACACATAGCAATAACATATACATTAACATTAGTACTCCATAATATTAGGAAAATTAGAGAGAAATTATAGAAAATTGTCAGGAAACCTGTCATAATAAAACTTTAATATTTTTATGTATTAAGAAAATTACTTTCATTTTATTTATTTTAAATTTTTATTTATCAAATTTAAGGGAATTTTAAAAAGTGCCATTTCAGTAAGAATGTCCTGTCACAAACATTACTGTTTTATTAAA